CCTGGGGCCGGAGGTCAGGGCCTGGGGCAGTAGGTCGGGGCCTGGGCAGTAGGTCGGGGCCTGGGCAGTAGGTCGGGGCCTGGGCAGTAGGGTCGGGGCCTGGGCTGTAGGTCGGGGCCTGGGGCCGTAGGTCAGGGCCTGGGGCCGTAGGTCAGGGCCTGGGGCCATAAGGTCGGGGCCTGGGGCAGTAGGGCGTCGCCTGGGGCAGTAGGGCGTCGCCTGGGGCTGTAGGTCGGGGCCTGGGCTGTAGGTCGGGGCCTGGGCTGTAGGTCAGGGCCTGGGGCTGTAGATCGGGGCCTGGGGCATGGCCCTGTGTCCCCAGGTCTGGTGAGGTGGCCAGGCCAGGAAGAGAAGCTGCTGCATACTCTGAGCATCTGGCTGTCCTGCGCAGGCCAACGAGGGTGTCACTGACCGCAGTGAGGGGCAGTGGAGGCCAGCCTGCAGCCCTGGTCACTGGTCAGACTTCGAGGCGAAGTCCTGGCTCTCACCATGGGTCCTCGTCACCTGAATTCGGTGAAACTGGTCACGTTTCTGGGTCTCGGGAATGCCTTTTGGGACAAGAGCAAATGTGGCTTTTCCTGTGGGAATTCCCGTTTGCAAGGCCTCAGCCTGCCAACCTCGCTACCCAGGTGACTGTGACCGTCACCTGCACACTATCCGGGTGGTCTGTGACCGTCACCCGCACACTATCCGGGTGGTCTGTGACCGTCACCCGCACACTATCCGGGTGGTCTGTGACCGTCACCCGCGCACTACGTGGGTGGTCTGTGACCGTCACCCGCGCACTACGTGGGTGGTCTGTGACCGTCACCCGCGCACTACGTGGGTGGTCTGTGACCGTCACCCGCGCACTACGTGGGTGGTCTGTGACCGTCACCCGCGCACTACGTGGGTGGTCTGTGACCGTCACCCGCGCACTACGTGGGTGGTCTGTGACCGTCACCCGCGCACTACGTGGGTGGTCTGTGACCGTCACCCGCGCACTACGTGGGTGGTCTGTGACCGTCACCCGCGCACTACGTGGGTGGTCTGTGACCGTCACCAGCGCACTACCTGGGTGGTCTGTGACCGTCACCCGCGCACTACCTGGGTGGTCTGTGACCGTCACCCGCGCACTACCTGGGTGGTCTGTGACCGTCACCCGCGCACTACCTGGGTGGTCTGTGACCGTCACCCGCGCACTACCTGGTGGTCTGTGACCGTCACCTGCGCACTACCTGGGTGGTCTGTGACCGTCACCTGCACACTACATGGGTGGTCTGTGACCGTCACCTGCACACTACATGGGTGGTCTGTGACTGTCACCTGCGCACTACCTGGGTGGTGTGTGACCGTCACCCGCGCACTGTGTGGGTGGTCTGTGACCGTCACCTGCACGCTATTGGGGTGTCTGTGATTATAGCCTGGACCGTGGCCACCACAGGCCACACTCAGCTGATGCTGTCCGGTAGGAACAGGACTTAGCTGAGCCGCAGCCTGTGCAGTGACCCTGGCGTGGCGAGTGTGGTCCTGCCCTCACAGTCGCTGTGTGCCTGTCAGATGCTTGTGGGGCAAGCTCATTCCTGACTTTTCCAGCTTCGGGAGGAGCTGCATTCCTTGGCTCCTGCCCCCTCCTCTGACTCAGAGTCAGCAGGGGCATCTTCCAGTCTCTCTGACCTCTGACCCTCCTCCCTCTTACGAATTCACATGATCCGGAGAATCCAGGATGCTCTCCTGTCTCGAGATCCTTAACGTCATCGCCTTTGCCGAGTCCCTTTGTCCCCGTGAGGTCACAGCTGTATCCCTGTCAGGCAGCCAGGAGCTCAAAGTGCCCGCAGACAGGTCACCTGGCACCACGCAGCTGGAGGCAGTGGCCGGGCGGCACTCACCTGGCGCTTCCCTCCCCACAGAGGAGGAGCTCCGGAAACTGCGGGAGGAAACCAACTCCGAGATGCTGCGGCAGGAGCTGGACCGTGAGCGGCAGCGGCGGATCGAGCTGGAGCAGAAGGTGCAGGAAGTGCTGAAGGCCAGGTGAGGGGGCGGGTGAGGGGTGCGGGGCCCCTCTGGACCCCCAGGCCCCGCTGAGGTTTGCCTGGAGCTACACCTTTCCCACGTCCTGGGGTCCCCGCCGGACTGGGGGCGCTGGGAACAAGGGTCAGTAGCCCAGGCCTGCACAGAGCTGGGTGGGTGGCTGTGGCACGGAGGAGGGTGTGGCCAGAGCGGGACAGACACCGCCCAAGGGCCGGGCCCTTGGCCGGCTGCTGGAGCCCAGCTCTGTCAGGGCCGTCGCCAAAAGGCAGGCGGACAGTCAGGATCCAGCTGCTCCTGAGAGGGTTCGAGGCCGGGGGACCGCTGAGGTGGGGCGTGGCTGGGCGGCAGGGACAGGAAGCCAGGCAGGTGGCTGGCCCCGGCCTCTCGGCCTCGCCTGGTGCTTGGTCATCCGGTGTCGGTGTCTGTACAGCGGCCAGTGAGCCAGCAGTGAGAGCTGCCGGTTCTGAGCTCAGCAGCGAACGAGGAAGCAAAGTGTGAGAACGAATAGGAAGGAAAGACTGAGCCTGG